TCTCACCAGGACGTGACGCGCATGTCGTGTTTCTATTAGTTGTGGAGTCAATGACATCTTGTTTTGAAAAGTTTTTTTCTTAAATTGTTAATATTTGTCGTAATTGTCTTAAAAGTAATAGAAAACGATATTCATATGATTTATATCACGTCACATTAACCCATAAATGCTCAGAGAACACATTTCCATTTGAACCCTTGCCACCTAATGAGTGTGACGAAAAAATATTCGATAACTAGTGTTTCTATGTTTTTAACGATGCTCTTTTCGACGGTGTTGGTTAAAAATACCTCCGACAATATTAAAGCATGGAAAGATCGAAAATAAGCAAAAAAACGTGATTTTTGAATTGACTTTTTTCTTAAAAAGTAATTTTTTGTGTCCTTACAATTTTTCTATATGCTTTAAACCTATATAGAACATGACCTCGATATCTAAACATGAAATATTGACCGTTGGTCAAGTCGAAATGCCTTTACAAAATGTTTGATCAAACCAAGTTTAAGTGGTGGAAGGACTACTTTTTCGGGATCTTTCAAACTCCGACTTCTAATTGCATTCTAATTTGGACATAGGAATACCGAATAACAATGATTTTGATTTACCATAAGTCCACTGTCTTAACATTTCAACACATAACCGGCATATTTTATCGTAACCCACTGTTTATCTTGGTAACAACAAAGTCTGTTATATTCAATCTTTGTTCAACTATTGTATATTGTCCGCAAATGTAACAAAATACATTTGAATTGCTTTTACAACTCCGAGAAGCCATAGTTTAAGATAAATGAAACACAACCTTTTATTACACTTTAATATTATATCTCTCCCAATAATGGCGCGCTATAAACTATTTTTTTTAGGCGGTGTAAACGACTATAGTTACTTTCAGACTATCTAAAATAATGTAAAAGACAATATAATACTCAGTTAGGGACTATTAAATAGAAATATATAAAATGAATTTTGTGAAAAAACGCCGATTCAAAGAGCTATATATATATAGGTACATATATTAATCTATATATAAAAAAAATGTGACGTGATACGTTAAAACAAAGTTTATATTTGCAAAATATAGACCAACATTTGCATGCTTAAGATAAATTTATACAAAATACTTTTTTATCGCAGATCTGTGTAATTTGGAAGCCATGGATTGAATTATTTAGTCGCGTATGCATAAGTATCTACTGCTTTATGACATGCAAACAAAGTCGTGAAAATAAAGTAGTATTTAAATCAATTTAAACTTTAAATTTCATTGTAATAACTGCAGGGCAGTTTTAAAACTAATAACAGTGTTTTCATTTTTAGGACAGCAGCAACAGTTTCATTTTGCCTTTGGACAACGTCCTTTTCCATTTGCTAGTACTGATCCACTTTCTGGTTTTCGAATGCCGCCGATAGCAAATTGTAACAGTAAGTAAAAAAATATATTTTTACAAGGGCAAAAGAAAAGCATGTTTAGATGTGCAGATCATGTAGTGGTAGGTATCAGTAGTTGGTAAGGAGGAACTAGATGTTCTTAAATAAAATGGAAGCGACATAGACAAAAGAGTAAGGTATGAAAGTAAATAAAAAAATTAAATAGAAATGTGTATGCAAGAAGAGAAATAGTTAATATAAAAGACAAGGAAGAAGTCGCTGACGAAGGATAGTGCACCGAGCGGCATGTCCTACGGTTTAGACCATTGCTTCGCACTCGAAATGAGCATCGGTTCAATTCCGAATCCGTCTGCAGTTTACTTGAGTCGCTTAGGCAAATACCGATGCAGTAACAATATTCCATAGGTATAATCTTTCACTCTCTTCTGTCTTCATTTTGTCCATCTCATCTTTCTCATCACAATTACCGCCTACCCACGATTCCTAAAGGAGGCTCTACCATCCGACGTAGTCCGAAGGAACTACCCGCCCACCAGCGTTAGTAGCTGATGAGAACGAAACACCCAAACGTCTTTTTAATGTCGAATCGTATTTCATCATCATAAGGTCGTCAGTCCTAAGACTGGTTGGACACGTACCTCCACTCTTTCCTATCCTGAGCCAAACAGTAATCTAATCTAGGTCTACCTGTACCCCTCTTAACTCCTGCCTCTAATATGTCTCTGACTAGACCTTCATGTCCTACCAACCTATCTCGCTTATTCTTTATTGACTTCCATAGAGTCCTCTGTCCTCCTATTGTTTCCAATACCGCTTCATTTCTAACCTTTTATACCCACGTTATCTTCATCATCCGCCTATAACACCACATTTCTACAATTCTAACCTTTTCTTTTCCACCGCGCCCACTGTCCACGTTTCGCACCCGTACAACCCCGTGCTCCAAACATACACCTTTAACAACCTTTTTCGAATTTCTAAATTAACCGTCCGCGAGCTTAGAAGTTTTTATTAAAGGCGACACGACCCTGCGCTATCCTCTGCTTTATATCCCTACTACTCCTTCCATCCTGACTTATCTGACTTTCTAGCTATCTAAAGTCAGCCAGTTCTTCTAATTTTTCGTCTCCTATCTTTATATTCGCTCTTTCCCTACTTTTTATTCACTTGCATGCCAGTATTTTAGTTTTACTTTTATTTATTTTCATACAGTACTGATCTGTCAGTACCGCTTCCATTTTATTTAAAGCTATCTCTAAGTCCTCCTTGCTAGGTGCTAATACTGCTATATCATCTGCAAATCTAAGCATACTAATCTTTCGCCCTTGCACATCTATCCCTACAGTTGTACTGTATTTAATGATGTTGATCGCGTCTTCGATGTATAGATTAAAAAGTAGCGGTGACAATGTGTATCCCTGTCTGACTCCCTTCCTAATATTTATTTCTCTACGTTGCAGCTCCAGTGCTATAACTGCCTGTTGCTCTTTATGCAAACTAAGTATCACCCTTCTATCTTTGTAACTCATCCCTACATTTTTAAATATATTTAACATCTTGTCCCATTTAACATTGTCAAAAGCTTTCTCTAAATCTACAAATCCATGTACGCACTCTTTTCCTTTTTCTATCGTTTTCTCTAGTGTTACCCGTAAAGCTAGAATGGCCTCCCGCGTTCCTCTATTTCTTCTAAACACAAATTAATCTTCCCCTAATAGTTCTTCCGCCCTTTTTTCCATCCTCTTCTGTACAATTCTAGTTAAGATTTTTGACGCATGGGAAGTTAAGCTAATTGTTCGATATGTCTCGCACCTATCCGCGCCCCTCTTCTTAGGTAATGTTACTACTGCGTTCCGTTTATAATCCTCTGGGACTTTCCCCGTTTCGTAAATGTGACTAACCAGCTTAAACATACGATCTCTAACCTCTTGTCCTGCATGTTTTAGAATTTCCCCCTGTATCCCATTTACACTTGGCGCCTTATTATTCTTTAAATTTTTTATTTCTACATCGAACTCTTCTCTCATTATGGGACAACCAAGCCCATCTATTTCCATACTATCTTCCTTCTCTAATATATCTCATAGCTCAGGGCCTGCGTATAGGTTCTCTAAATATTCTTTCCACCTATCTGCCTTTTTCTCATTTTCTATCAAGATGAACCCTGCCTCGTTTCTTATATTAACAACTGTATCCTACATCTCTAAAATTCGTTTTAATTATATTATACGCCTCATCGGTTTTAGAAATTAAAACAAAATGTTAAAAGTATAAATTTAGGGCACGAGTCTTCATGAGTACGAAACATGAAGCTTTGCGCGGCAGAAATGAAATGGGTAGAAGGATTTAAGATGCGGATTTTTAGGCGAATGATGAAAAAAAAAGAGTAGGAGAACAAAGGGTACAACAGATGTTAATAAGGAAAGGGGGAGATAGGACGATAGAGCACCTTCTAAGTCATGAGCAGAGATAAGCATAGTTCGCATCTTTTTTTCATTTGAAAACACTTCTATCATCTAACTAGGGCTGGATTACTGAACTTACAGACGCAAGCCGCTTTCTTTTCTATTGGTTGGCCCCAAAACGATGGATGACGGTAACATCGGTGTCTTAAGTGTTGTTCTTCATAATCTTTTTAAAGAAGACGACTAATATAAATATAAGATTTCTAATTCATTTTAAATATCTTTTTGGCTATATTTTTGTACTTTTATATAAAGTGTTTAAGTTAGGTTAATTTCCAAAACACTTCAAAAATGANGGTAAAGTTGATTTGTATTCTGTAGAACTGTCTTCGGCGTGCTGACGAGACCCAACGAGAATTCATGATTCACGTCTGACAGTTTTAACAGATTACTGACCATTACATGAAGTTTGTTGTTCTGATTGGTTACAGGTCTATTACCACGTAGGGCCGTAGCTACGCCGTTTTCAAGTCAATATATATATAGACCTCGTCGAACATTTTTGAGTTCCACAACGTTCCACAGATGGCGTTTGTTTTGCAGTAATTCAATCTACTATTTATGGTATATTAGTTGTAAGAAGAGCAATTTTCTTGACTGATATTCATTGAGATAGTTTAAAATTACTCTGAGGAATGGAGATAGGGAAATTTTCTGTAAATTGGTATGGCAATGGGGAGCATCATTAGCGAAAATTAATTATGACCGTCGGATAATCTGCCACCGTCTGCAATATATTCGGCTAATAAGTGTTGACAAAATCGGTCGTTTGTCAGCTGAATGTATGCTATAAGTTTAATGTGTGTGTGTATGTGTGCGTGTGTGTGTGAGTGTGTATGCGTAATGTATTTGGATCCAAAACACAATCCACTATGTGTGCTCTTCGTCACCGTGGAACTAACTGGAGGACTAAGAAATTACGCCGGTTGTTAGGAAATATGAATCATCTCATTTACACGGCAACATCGTTTTCTTAACTTCCTGTCTTCTGTTTGGACAAATGAACCAGAATCTCTCAAGTTGCAGAATTTCATTGGAAATTGATAGTTGCCTCCAAGATAACATTAAACAGCCACTTACTATTAGATATTGGCAAACAAAATACTTACCATCTTTTGAAACAGAAATATCGGTTGATGTCGAGCATATTCTAAGAGAAATATACGAACACCAAAGGGGCCAGTCCATAATAGTTGTATTGTGGTGAAAATGGGATGTGGAAAATAAACGGAAAACATTGAAGAGTATCAAATTTTGCTATCTTTGTTTCTCTGTGAAGAAAATTAAAGAGTACTTTCAATAAACCTCTACAAACATAATAGGCATCAGTAAATTAGGTGGAAAATAGGAGGGAAGAGATCAAGATCTCAGCATGACCCTCAAGAAGAGAATGACAAATTGTTACATTGTTCCAATATTACTATATGGTGTCAAGGTTTGGACGTTGTCTGAAGCAGCAGAAAAAAGAATCCTTGAATTTTGAAATGTGTATCTATCGAAGAATCCTAAAAATTTCCTGGGTTGACTGGGTCACCATTGAAGAGGTCCTCAGGAAGGATGAACTGTCAACTAAACCTTATGTACACTATAAAACAACGAAAGCTAGAGTACTTGTACCATATGAGAAACCCTGTGATATAACGACTGTTACAACTGTTCCTACAAGGTAGACCAGAAGAAAATAAGGACCAAGACGTCCACAGAATCGTTCCGCACTGCAACCAATAAAGGAAGAATAGTCATGAATGTAGGCAACATCTGGAATGGATAAGGCCAAAGAAAACGAAGAAGAGGAAGGAGAACAGATGACTGAATATTCCTGATCTCAGGATAGAGCAGAGCTAAGTAAAAACCGTAGTAAATGCCAAAATTGCTTAGAAAAGACTCGGTTTGTAATCTGTTCTTGGATTACTTTCAATTCAGTTCAGTTCAGCAGTTACCAAAATTAGTGTTTTGCTTGGTCAAACGCTTTTTGTTTTGGTCAAATTTTTGTTAACATCCGGTAGACGAGTTGAAAGGTGGGAAGTGATATCTAATCTTGTGGAACAAAAGCAAGGAGGACTAGTCGCATCGGTAATAAACGATAAATGACTCAACAGATAATTTAATTTCGGTTTAATAGAGGTACATAATATATTAAGACAAATGGCAAGTTTATTGACGATGCTGAAGTGAGATGCGTTTGTATTGCACAATAAACTAGTGGCGGATGGTGTCTTGTAGTTGTTATCCCGTTGGCATTGCGGCTAAATTACGCCTGTCGTAGCAGGAAATGTGGCGATTCCAGGTGTCAAGTAGGAACTGTAATATGACTACACAACGATCCTATAAATGTACAACATCCATTCCTGTTACGAAAACATGATATTACACTTAATACGGAACAATCCGTTTCGCGCTCTAATATCCAACAATATCTACACGTGTTCGAAGCTAAAATGTTAATAACCGTTCGGATACTTTGTATAGTTGCTTTAGGAGCGCCAGAGGGCCAATTCGAACGGACTGGAGGAGTTGGGAGTGGAATGGGTGATATGTAGGAACGATACCTATCTGCTCAGATAGACA